GAGACCCTTCATTCTGGGGACTTTGCATTGTTTGTATTCCAAAGTCAATTTTCTCAGTGTCTGCTCTCCCAGGAGTCTGAGAGAGACCCATACTCTTCTTTTGGTTTTCTTCATTTCTGTAGATTTTTCTCCCTTTACCCCTTTCCCTCCCCCTCTTCAATTCTGTTTTTGAGAGAAGGTGGGGTTGCTTTTATTTCTCTTCTGCAATGACCTGTTCTTCCTTATGAGGGTCTTCTGGTTTTGTTCACTTTTCCCTCTGTTTTACAGTCTGTCTATTCAGCAGTTTGCAGTCTTGGTCCGTTCAGAGAATCTCACAAGTTCACCTATGCCGTCGCCATCTTGCCCCGTCTCCTCCTCAATTCTTTTTAATCTCTCCATTAATGTCTTGATATCTAGGTTTGTAGTTTGAGACCAGTCATTCTGGGGGCTCTTCATTGTTTGTAGTCAATTTTCTCAGTGTCTGCCCTCCAGGGGTCTGGGAGAGACCCATATTCTTCTTTTGATTTTTCTCTTATCTCTGGAGCAAAAGGAGGTACAAAAGAGGGAAATAATGGAAGAAGGGAGGGTCAATAGGATGTTAGAAAGAGAGAAGAGTGAGAGGGAAAACAGACATACATACCAACTAACAGGTGAAAAAGAGACATAAGGCCGGAGAGTAGTGGGGAAAAAAAAACACAGAAGGAAAATTCCCTAAAGAATACTGGTAGCTACACAGAGACAGACCAATAAGATCATGAAACAGATAGTGTAAGTGAGAAAGCAAACAATAGTGAGTAAAACATACAGTCAGAATGATAAAACCAAAGGTCAAAATAAGAGATCAGACTAGTTCTGTAATCTTTCCTTAGTGGCTAAAGTCACTTGAGCTGTGATCTCCAGCCTCTCCCCTTTGTTTTTTTCAGCAATGTGATATTTAAGGCAGGATGACAAAAGATTTAAAAGGACCATTTCACAGTGACAGAGGGACCACTCCCACAGGAAGACATCAGAATCCTAAACTTCTCTGCCAGTGACACATCTTCAGTGTATATGAAGCCAAACATGTCTGTGGTAGCCTCTCTTTTTGGGGGAAGGGTGTTGTAGTCTCTCTCAGTCACCCAGGCTGGAGTGCAGTGGCATGATCCCAGCTCACTGCAGCCTCGACCTCCTGGGCCGGGTGATCCTCCCACCTCAGTCTCCCATGTAGCTGGGACTACAGGTGTGTGCCACCATGCCTGGCTAATTTTTTTGTATTATTATTTTTCGTAGAGAGGAAGTATCACCATGTTGCCCAGGCTGGTCTCAAACTCCTGAGCTCAAGGAATCCTCCCATCTTGGCCTCCAAAAGTGTTGGGATGGCAGGCATGAGCTGTGCACCCAGCCTCTCCCTTCTCCTTATCCCAAAGCTTTGCTCTGAGATTTTAGTTACCCATGGTCAACCATGGTCCAACAACAGGTGAAATGTTTTTTGAAAGAGACCACATTCATATAACTTTTATTACAGTATGTTTCTAATTTTTCTAATTTTTTATTGCTAATCTCTTACTGTGCCTAATTTTTTTAATTGTTAATTTTAAAGATATAGGGTACCATTTAGGATTAGGTATACAAATGGTCATTGTCCAGGTAAACTTTGGGCCTCACTTTGGTCCCCACTTTACCTGGTTTGAGGTCAGGGTCCCTTATTTATGAAGTAAGGCCCTCTTCCCTCCCCTGGCAGTTTCCCACCACTGCCAATCCATTTCTTATATATTATGGTAAATGTTCAGGGTCTTCTTATGAGTGAGAACATGTGATACTCAGTTCTATGTTTCTGTGATAGATCACTCAGTATCATAGACTCTAATCCGTCCAAATTGCTATGAAGTTCATAACTTTGTCCTTCTTTATGGCTGTGTTATAGTCCATTGTGTATATGTACCACATTTTTTTTATCCAGTCCTCTTTTCATGAGCAGCATGGTTGGTTCCATGTTCTTGCTACTGTGAACAATGCTGCGATAAACAAACGTGTGCAGGTATTATTTTTATAGAGTGATTTGAGTTCTTTTGGGTATATTCCCATTATGGACATTGCAGGGTCAGATGGAAGGTCAATTTTTTAGATCTTTTAAGAATCACCACACTGTTTTCCACAGAGGCTGTACTAGTTTACACTCCCATCAACAGTGTAGAAGTGTTCCTTTTTTGCCACATCCTCTCCAGCATATGTTGTTTTTTGAGTTATTGATGATGGCCATCCTGACTGGAGTTAAGTGGTATCTCAGTGTGGTTTTGATTTGCATTTCTTTGACTAGTGAGGCTGAGCATTTTTTCATGTATCTGTTGGATGCTCATATGTCTTCTTTTGAGAAGTGTCTATTCATATCTTTTATTCACTTTTTAATAGGGCTGTTTGCTCTTTTCTTTTTGGCATGTTTGCATTCCTTATAGATCCTAGATGTTAACCCTTTGTCAGATATACAGTTGGCAAATATTTTTTTCCTAGTCTGTGACCTGTCTCCCTGCTCTCTTGATGGTTTTTTGACTTTGCAAGAGCTTTTAAGTTTAATGGGGTCCCATTTGTCTATCTTATCTCTTATGGCATGGGTACTTGGGGTTTTGATCAGCAATTAGTTTCCAGTTCCAAGTTCCATAAGGGTGTCTCCTGCATTTTCTAAGATTTTTATAGTTTGAGGTTTTATGTTTAGGTCTTTGATCCATTTCGAGTTGATTCTTGTGTATGGTGATAGATAGGGATCCTGTTTCAATCTTCTGCATGTGGTCAGCCATTTTTCCCAGCATCATTAACTGAATAGGTTCTCCTGTCCCCAGTGGTTGTTGGTGGAGGCTTTGTTGAAGATGTGTTGGTTGAGAAATTGAGGTTTTGCTTCCAGAATCTCTATCCTCTTCTATTGGTCTTTATGCCTGTTCTTGTGCTAATACCTGGCTGTTTTGATTATTGTAGTTTGCAAAGTTTAAAGTCTGAAAGCGTGATACCTCCCACTTTGTTTCTTTTGCTTAGGATTGTTTTGGCTATTTGTGGTCATTTATGTTTCCATATGTATTTCTGTATTGTCATTTCCAGGTCTGAGAAGAATGATGCTGGTAATTTAATGGGTATTGCGTTAAACCTGTAGATTGCCTTGGATAAGATGGATATCTTAACAATGTTGATTCTTCCAGTCCATGAGCGTGGAATATTTTTCCAGTTGTTTGTGTCATCTTTGATTTCTTTGAGCAGTATTTTGTAGTTCTCGCTGTGAAGGTCTTTCACTTCTCTGGTTAGGAAGATGGCAGGGTATTTCTTTTTTTGTGATTATTATGAATGGGATTGTGTTTTTTATTTGTTTCTCTGCCTGTCTGCTGTTGGTGTATAGGAATGCAACTGTAGTATGTATGTATTTAAGAAAACAGTGTATAGATATGACTTTGTACTATCCACAGTTTCAGAACTTCACCAGGGGTATCGAAACACATCGCCTGAGGATAAGGGAGGACCACTATATGCAAAAACAGACAAATCCACAAATGAGATGTGGGATGTTAATTCACCTCTCCCAATAGATAGCTGATACAGCAAGTCATCAATGCTTTTATCAGCAAGAACAAAGGAAATAGGTAAACTACACACTTTAAAAACAAACAGGCCCAGCCCGGTAGCTCACACCTGTGATTTCAACACTTTGGGAGGCCAGGGTGGGAGGTTGGCTTCAGTCCAGGAGTTCAAGACCAGCCTGGGAAACATATCAGAGTATGTGTGTATAGCTGACATATACATATGTGTGTGTATTTGTATATATTTCTACCTTGGTGTTTGGCCTGTGAGTTTATGTTATTGAACACCTTCTTCAGCACATCATTAAACAGCAACACTGTCTCCTTCCCTAACATTGCTAGGATGGGGATCTAGGTAGTTTTCTTCCCCCTGAACTGAGCTGGTGGGAGAATGAGACTCACACTGTGTAGCCACTGCAGCTTAAAGGGGCTCATGGTGTCCTCATCATCCTTCCTGCTATGTAGACCTTGTCATAGCATGGGACAAGCTCCTGTTTTTGTATGTTTCAGCCCTTCTACCTAACTTGAAGCCAGAGGACTCGAATTCCAGAGAAACACAAATGAATTTGAAGGAAGAAGAATCTGGTATGTGCCACATCCTAACAGACCCTGGTAGAAAATGGGCTATCAACCAGGCACAGTGGCTCATGCTTGTTATCCCTACACTTTGGGAGACTGAGGTGGGAGGATTGCTTGAACCCAGGAGTTCAAGACCATCCTGGGCAACATGGCAAGACCTCATCTCTCCAAAAAGTAATCAAAATATTAATCAGGAATGGTGGTGCATGCCTGTAGTCCTAGCTACTCCAGAGGCTGAGGCAGGAGGATCACCTGAGCCCAAGAGGTAGAGGCTGCCATGAGCTATGATTGTGCCACAGCACTCCAGCCTGGGTGACAGAGTGAGACCCTGACTCAAAAACTTAAATAAAATTAAAAGTAAAAGGAAAGAAAATGGGCTTCAGACTGGGGTGAGCAGTTCAACTCCTAAGGCAAGAGAAATTATAAGTTAGTATGTCCAGTCATGCATCTACCAAAGGGTAATTCTGGACTCACCTAACTAAGGAATTCACCCTCTATTCCAGCTGGATGCAGGGGCTCACACAACCTCATCGAGGTGTTACTTCTTCCTTCTTAATAACCCTTTCTTCTTCTGTTGGCTTCCTCGAGCCTCCTCCTTTGCTCTGGACCCCCAGCTGCTCTAAGCCTGGGTCATACCTGCTTTGCACTACCAACAGAAAAAGAGCACTTGTTTTCTATACTTCCAGCATGCATTCTGAAATGGACTCCACTGAATGAATGAAGATCATGAGCTCATTAGTAGATAAGATGCTCTGGTTGGTGAGGAGGAGTAGCTTGTGGACTCAGGAGAGAGCTTGGTTGGGCCCCATCACAGTCCAACTTGATGATGGGGAGTGGAAGGAGCAGTTTCCCAAAGAAGATTGTGATGCCATTGCCAGCCTGGGAATGGTCAGTAGGCAGGCAAAGGCAGCCGATATCTTCATGAATTCCTCCTTCCTTCACTATCCAGGGTCATCCAAATTAGGGTTCTAGGAAGAAGCCAAATTGTATTCATGTGAGAACAGTCTTTCTCAGTCAGATTGTATATAGAAATTAGGAGCTGGTCTCGATGGCTCAGCCTGTAATCTCGTGCCTTGGGAGGCTGAGGTGAGTGAATTGCCTGAGCCCACGAGTTTAAGACCTGCCTGGGCAACTTGGCGAGACCTCATCTCTACAATAAATCAAAAACTAGCTGGGCATGGTAGCGTGTGCCTGTAGTTCCAGTTACTTGGAAGGCTGAGGTGGAAGGATTGCCAGAGCCCAGCAGGTCGAGGCTGCGGTGGCCGGGAGTGGCCACTGCACTCCAGTCTGGGCAACAGAGTGAGACTCCAACTCAAAAAAAAGAAAGTAATTAGGTCAGAAGGAACTAAGGGCCAAAGGAAAGCTGTTTAATCTGTCACGAAATCATACGGGAATAGAATGTAAGATTGTCTGTTCTAGCCCTGGTTTAAGTCAGTTTCACTCCTTCAACAAATCCTTGTGAGCCTGTTGTTTTAAAAACTCTAGGAATCAGATCAGTCAATCCTACTCTGATTCTAGAGATGACGAGATTGAGGTTTAGAGAGTCTGTAACTGGCTCAAGATCATAAAGCTAATAAGTAGATCTCAGACTCCTAGAAAGCTTCCCTCTACCTTTCAACCAGGGATACGGTGAGAACCAGACATCATCTCTATCTTCACGAAGTTTATGGTTGAGGGAAGCACAAGGGAGAAAAAGAGAATCACACACTGGGATGAGGGTTTATGACAGAGGTTGTTAACTGTCTACCCAAAGAATTCTACCTTTTTGTTCTAAAATTGGAAAATACAGTTTATTTAGAAAGCAAATTAGGGAGAGAGGGGGAGGGAAGAGATTTGCTTCCCCAGGGTAGGGAAAGAGGTCAAATCTTAGGAAAACATGGCAGCCATAGCTCAAAGAGCCACATGGCCAGACTGGAGCCTAACAAAAACAATGACCTCTACCTTTTTTTATGCTACCAGAACCCAATTTTACATAGAGATGAGATGTGCCCTGCCACATGGTAAATACCTACTTTCCTTGAAGTTGGAGTTATTATGGGACATGTCAATAATGCTCTAAGCTATGAGATGTAAGTAGAAGTCTCCTGGGTGTGTCTGTTTATATTGATGAAAACAGACATGGGTCCTCAGCATGACCCTTCTCCCAATAATTTCAAATTCGAATGCAGATAAAGCTACAGCAGTGGTCTCCTACCTGTGGGGGCGAGAATACAAAGAAAAGGCTGAGAGAATTGTGGTGCTACTACTGCCCATGGAACTGTGGAGCCACCAAACCAATTTCTATAGCGTTCGTTACATCCACCATATTTCTTTAGTAAAACACAGTCCTTGTTTTGTTGAAGCCACTTCAAATTGACTTTCTTGCTCATTGCTGTTTCTTAATTGATACAGCAACATCAGGGGAGGTATCTAATAGAGTCAAATATGTTATGAGGCTTAATGTAGGCATCAAGCTAGTTTTCTTATTGTTCTATCAGTTCTTACCAATAACTGATGTTGCACCCTGTATTTCTCCCTTCTCACAAATCTAGATAAAATGAGGAAGTACAAATCAGATGTGATTAAAAAGTATTTCAATGTCTGGGACAATACCACTTGGCCTGGGAACCACAGGGACTTCTTGTTCCAAAATGTATACAGACATGAGATGTACCTACCATGTCTATTTCTACCCAAAAGACCTCATGGTAGGCAGCCCAAGACCGTGGTCATACAGGGAGTTCCTGGGATTGGAAAAACAACCCTGGCCAAAAGAGTGATGTTAGAGTGGGCGAGAAATAGGTTCTACCCACACAAGTTCCGGTTCGCTTTCTATTTCCATTGCCAAGAAGTGAACCAACCGGTGGAGCAGAGCTTCTCGGAGCTGATTGCGCACAAGTGGCCAGGATTGCAGGATCTTGTGTCAGAGATCATGTCCAAACCAGACCAACTTCTGCTCCTCTTTGATGGTTTTGAGGAACTCACATCCACCCTGGTCGGAAGACTGGATGATCTGAGTGAAGACTACAACCGGAAGTTGCCTGGGTCTATTCTACTGTGCAGCCTACTAAGCAAAAGAATGCTGCCCGAGGCCACACTGCTGGTCATGATAAGATTTACCTCTTGGCAGACGTGTATGCCCTTGCTGAAATACCCCTCCCTCGTCACCCTGACAGGGTTTAATAAGATGGAAAAAGTCAAGTACTTCAAGGTGTTTTTTGGGAACACAAGGGAAGGGGACGTTGCCTTGAGTTTTGCCATGGAAAACACAATTCTTTTCTCCATGTGTCGAATCCCTGTGGTCTGCTGGATGGTTTGCTCTTGCCTGAAAGAGCAAATGAAGAGAAGAAAAAGTCTGGCAGAGGCGTGTCCAAATGCCACAGCTGTGTTCACCCAATATCTTTCTAGCTTGTTCTCAAGCACCGAGAACATTTCCAACAAGATCCACCAAGAGCAACTGGAAGGTCTGTGTCACCTGGCTGCAGAAGGCATGTGGCGTAAAAAATGGGTGTTTGTTAAGAAAGACCTTGGGAAAGCCAAGATGGATGAGGCTGGGCTCGCCATTTTTGCCAGTATGAATATTCTTCGAAGGCTTCAAGGGGATGAAGACCGCTACGCCTTTGTGCTCTTGATTTTCCAGGAGTTTTTTGCTGCCTTGTTTTACATCCTCTGTTTCCCACAAAGACTCAAGAATTTCCACGTGTTGGACCGTATGAGTATCCAGCACCTGGTGGCAAGTCCTGGAGGAAACAAGAACTATCTTGCTCACATGGGACTTTTCTTATTTGGCCTTTTCAATGAGGCGTGCATGTTCATTGTGGAGCAGTCATTCAGATGCAGGGTGTCCTTGGGCAACAAGAAGAAACTGTTGAAAGTGGTGCCCCTACTGTATGAATATAACCCACCCTCTCCATGCTGTGGGGTCCCACAGCTGTTTTACTATCTGCATGAGGCCCAGGGGGATGCCTTTGTAAGTGAGGCCCTGCACGGTTATCACCAAGCTACTCTGAGAATTAACAAGAATAGAGACATGCAAGTGGCTGCTTATTGCCTGAAGCACTGTCAGCATTTGCAGCAGATGGAACTGACGGTCACCCTGAACTTCACGAAGGTGGAGAAGCTTGACCCCGGTTTCCATTTTGACTCTGAGTAAGTACTTTCTCTCTCCTTTGGCTAACTGCCTTACCCAGGGACTTTACCTACAATCTCCTGGACATTGAGGGAACAACATTCTTGCCTTAAGGACAAGGTTTGTGAACATCTAAAGCTTTCTCATCTCTTCCTTACTCTAGTTTGCCCGATACTCAGACAAACATGTATCCAGGGTGATCAACTATCCCAGTTTGCCTAGCATTGAGATTTCTCAGACACGAAATTTTTTATTTTACTACCAGGGCTGAGGATGGTCCTGGGATGCAAGCCTTTGAGGATTAAACCTGGGAGAATCTCGGGCAAACCATGATAAGTCGTTCACCCTTCTTATGTCTGTGTTGCATGCCCATATAAATGGGACTTGCCTCATGGGTCACACTTACCTTTGTGAATCATAAGCCTTTTTGTCTCTAGGGAAGTGTTGTCTTATAGAACTTCATGGGATGATGGAAATGTCCTGTCTCTGTCCTGTCCAATATGGGAACCACTCATACATGCAACTGTTGAACACTTGGAATGTGACTAGTGTGACTGAGGGACTGAAGTTTTAAATCGTACTCATTTTAATCAACCCAAATTGAAATTGCCGTGTGTGGCCAGCAGCTCCTAAATTGGACAACACACCTCTTGGGGGTCTTTCTTTCCATATAAAAACTATCTTTCTTCATCTTGGATTCAAGGAGACAGTAACTTATAGCTACACAACCTCATCAAGTGACATCTCCCTCTTTCTTGTCAAGCAACTTAAAGAAATTTCGATTTGCTGTACCTTTGTTATCACCTGCTGTCATCTGTGGAAGAGGGTATTCCAGTGCTATGGCTGAGACCTTGAGTTTTCCACCTCTTTCAATCACTAGAGATTTGGACAGTCATCTAATTTCCAGGGTCTCTGCTTCTTCATGAGTAAAATGAGAATTTAAAAAATAGTACAGTCAGGGGCGGTGGCTCAAGTCTGTAATCCCAGCACTTAGGGAGGCCAAGGCAAGAGGATTGCCTGACCCTATGGGTTTGAGACCAGCCCGGAAAACTTGGTGAGACCTCATCTCTACAATAAATCAAAAATTAGCCAAGCATGGTAGTGCATGCTTGTAGTTCTGCCTACTTGGAAGGCTGAGGTGGAAGGATCACCAGAGTCTGGTGGGTCGAGGCTGGAGTGGCCATGAGCATGCCATTGCACTCCAGCCTGGGCAATGGAGTGAGACTGACTCAACAATAAAAGGGTATACATCTTGTAAGGCTGTTTATAAGGGTTGTTCAAGGTAAAATGTCTGAGACATTGAACAAGTCCTGGCCTCAGCTGGCACTCAGTAGACACAGGCTATTATTATGAAAACAATTCTTATCCCCATCACTCAGCTGAAACTCAGATCTTCATTTTGTCAAAGACAATGGGTTTATTTTTGTTCTCCTAAGAAGAGGTAAATAACACTGACTATTTGTTTTTCTTGTGTGGCCAAGTATTTATGTGAGTGACTTCTCAATCTGATACCATAGTGCACTGAAGATCAGATGTAGGTTGTAACTTGTCCAAGATCACACAGCTGCTGGAAGCTAAGGTGAACTAAAGTTGACCCCAATGGCTGTGATTTTTAAAGTGGGTAACCCTTGGGGTCCCCTCCCACTGTGGAAGTTTTTCTATCCTCCCAATAAATCCTACTTTCTAAAAAAATTAATAGATAAGACAACTAGTTTGACCCCTGGAGTTGGGGGAAGAAAGGGAGACACCATCATTTCTGCTGCATAACTGAAATACCTTTCTGAGTTCTTAACTGTGAAAAGAAGCCACAGTCTCTTCCAGACACGTGTTTTTCCATAAAGCACTGCCTAAGTCCTCTGCATACTGACATGTAAGTCTAATGTTCATAGACTTGTCTAATGTAGGAGGGGGACCCAAGAAACCTGGAACTTATTTGTAACATGCAACGTGCAGGGCTCCAACCATCCCTGTGAGTTTCTCTGGAGCAGGGGGAAGCAGACGATAGTCTGAAGGCCCAAGTCAGCTTGCTGCTTGATTTGGTAAAGCATTCTCCACTGGCATCCAGTTACGCTTGTTTGTTACGTATTGTCTCTGATGATGACCCCATTGCAGTGGCAGAGCGGAGGCATTGTCACAAAATGCTAAACTACAAAGCCAAATATATTTTCTATCTGACCAATTACAGAAGAAGTGTGCCAACCCCTGCTGTGGGGTATATTTTTTTAAAAGAAGTGACTGCATCACAAAATACACATCCCATCTTTGAATTTAGCACCATCAGTGTCACCAAGTTACTTTCCAAGGAAACTTGGTATTACTTGGGTAGAATGAGTTGTATTCACTCAGGTATTAGATGACCACACAGGGCCATGATGTTCCATGTCTGCTTTCCACTGACCTGGGTCATTCTAATGTGCCACACAATATCTCATGCAATGGGCCCTCCAATCCCTGAGACTGTTTGCTAAGGAAGGAGAAGGGGCTACAGAGCTTGAAGTTCCACTTGGTGTTGCCTGTTGGTCTTCCCACTAGGACCTCAAAAGTCTAATCACCATGCCTTGCCATGAGGATGAATAATCTTGAAACCTAATATTAGTAGAAGTCTTGAGAGATGACGTGTTTCTTTCACATTGGTTAGTTCATTGACAATTTTTTGTGGAAGTTCTTGGAGGGCGTCAATATCATTCCTATGTGTTTGCTTTCCTCGATATTTGAGGGGTGTGAAAATGTATGGTTTTATCTTATGGTGCTTAAATTTTAAACAAAAATGACATTCTGGTATAAATATTCTGAAATCTTCTCTTTTCACATAATAGGTCTTAGGAATCTTTTAATGTCTGTGTATCCCATCTTCAATGAAGCATTGTTCTAAAAATAGGTGGGTTAGAAATAATTAAAGCATTTCTCCCTCGATTTACTTCTGGGTTGTTTATTTATTTTGTTTTATTATTATTATTATTATTTTTGAGTAAGAGTCTCACTCTTTCATTCAGGCTGGAGTACAGTGCACATGCTCACGGCCACCGCAGAATCAACCCACTGGACTCAGGCGATCCTTCCGCCTCAGGCTTCCAAGTAACGGAACCACAGGCTCATGCCACCATGCCCAGCTAATTTTTTAAATTTATTATAGAGAGGAGATCTCGCCATGTTGCCCAGGCTGGTGTTGAACCCCTGGACTCAAGCAGTCCTCACTTCCGCCTCCCAAAGTCCTGGGATGGCAGGCATGAGCCACCACACCTGGCTTGCTTTTGGATTGTTTTCAACGATTTCTTTAATGAAAACTACAACAAAAATCTTCACATGGGTATCATGTCAGCTTCTCTGAGAGGACTGTATGGGTGGGAATACAAGACAAAGCAGGTCCTTCCACCTCTAAGTGACATCACATGTGCATCTGGCTCCAGATTTTTCTTCAACTCACCATACCAAAAAGATTCATTCTTCTCTCACTCTGATCCTACAACAGGGGACCCAAAAAACCCAGAATTATCTTTTGGAGGGTAGGCCCCTTTTGGTCCAGGCTTCCCTCACCAGGTAAGTGTTTGAGGAATCTACATCCATGGACCAGTTAGCGTTGTTGTGAGAGGCTGTGCTCAGTTTCTGGGAAAATTTTTTTGGCGATTCTTTCAGTGCGTTTGCCCTTTCATAATGGGTGATTTACGAGCACACCTGCCCACACAACTCTGGGCGTTCAGCAGTTTTGGACCAAAAACAGCATGACCCCCCCATAACCTACCTTCCCTATTAACCTAATCTCACCCCCAAATGATTTTTTTTTGTTTCTCTGATGAAAAACAAAAGTCCTCAAAGGGAAATGTTTTGCCAGTGTGGAAGTGGTGAAACAAAAAACAGCAGAAGCACTAAACGACATCAAAACTAACAAGTCAAAAACTGTTTGAGCAGTGGGAAAGCCATCTTGATAGGTATATTGCATCAAATGGAGAGTACTTTGAAGGTGACTGAAGTTTAAACATATAAGAATAAATACACAATTTTTTATCAATAAATTCCAGGTTTGGGGGGTTTCCCCCTCGTATATAGGGTTCTTGCTTTTTGATAAAAATTGTATGTACACAGAGCAAGATATAAATCAATCTTTGTCCCCACATAAATCCCAACTAACTAACAAAGCAATTCCTGTTCTTCCTAAGTCAAAGAAAATTATGAATTTGTTAACTGAGTCCTTGAATCTTCCTGGAATGAAAGGATAAATCTTGTGATGGTTTTTCTAGGTGTGTGTGGCTTTTTGTTTTTTTGGTTGGGGGGGGAGTTGTTGTTGTTTTTTTGAGTTGAAGTCTCACTCCATTACCCAGGCTGAAGTGCAGTGGCATGCTCATGGCCACCACAGCCTCGACCTGTTGGACTCTGACAATCCTTCTGCCTCAGCCTTCCAAACAGCCAGAACTACAGGTGCATGCTACCATGTCTAATTTTTGATTTACTGTAGAGACAAGTACTCACCAAGTAGCCTGGGCTGGTCTCAAACCCATGGGCTCAGGCAATCCACTCACCTCAGCCTCCCAAAGGGCTGGGATAACAGGTTGAGCCACCAAGTCTGGCCTTTTTTTTTTTTTTTTAAGTAAACGTGTCCTAGAGTCATCAAGGGATCTATGGACCCAACCAGGGTAGGGTTTACTGTTTACTCAAATTTAATCTTTAATGATAAGGCATTTTCTCTTTTCTACCTTGCATGCAGAGCACAAGAGAGTGAAAAGCTTTATCACTGGTGGCAGGACTTATGCTCTGTGTTCACAACAAATGAGAACCTGGAAGTCCTGCTTGTGACCAACAGTATTTTGGAGGACCGTTCAGTGAAAGTTCTTGCTGGTGCACTGAAGCATCCTTGGTGTAAACTACAAAAGCTACTGTGAGTATAAAATGAACCCTGGTTGGAAGGAGCTCCATGAAAACAGCCTGCTTTCCATCCTGTTTCTTCATTTCCTCTCTCCTCTCACACTAGACTTCTAGAAGGTACCCATGTCCCATCTTGAAAGGAAGGTCCAGGGTGACTTTTACTGCATGGGAAGAGTGAGACATGAGCTGCTTGGTAGCCAGGCACAGTGGCTTGTGCCTGTCATCCCAGCACTTTGGGAGGTTGAGGCAAGAGGATTGTCTGAGTCCAGGGGTTGGAGACCATCCTGGAAAACATTGTGAGAACTCATCTCTACAATAAATCAAAAAATTAGCAGGACATGGTGGTGCACACCTGTGGGTCCAACTACTTGAAAGGTTGAAGCAGGAGGATTGCCTAAGCCCAGGTTGTCAAGGCTGTGGTGAGCTGTGATCATGCCACCGCACTCCAGCCTGAACCACAGAGTAAGACTCTGACTCAAGAAACAAACAAACAAACAAACAAAAAAGACATACTTGCTGAGCTAGACCACAAATTCCAGAACCAGACCACCGGCCCATCACCTGCCTTGATAGTCACTGGCTCTGTGTCCTTTAGAGAGTGATTTGTACAATGGACGATGGAGGGATTTCTGACATCGTCACCCAAATGTGCCTCAGTGTGTCTACCCACAAAATGATCATAGTGATAGGAAGACTAAATGCAGTCATGTCTGTCATCTCAGCACTCTAGGAGGCCAAGGCAGGAGGGTCGCTTAAGCCCAAGAGTTCAAGACCAGCCTGGGTAACGTAGTGAAACCTCATCTCTACAAAAAAATGCAAAGGTTAACTAGGTGTGGAGGTATGCACCTGTAGTGTTTGCTACTCAGGAAGCTGAGGCAGAATGATCGCCTGAGCCCAGCAGGTTGAAGCTGTGGTGAGCTATGATCATGCCACTATATGCCAGCCTGGGTGACAGAGTGAGACCCTGTCTTTTAAAAAAATGCAGTTGTGCATGCGAAGTCCATAGAACCATGCCTAAAACAATGTAGAAGCTTCCTAATCCCAGCATGCAGTTGTGGCTAGTGGGTGGATGCCGTCTTGCAGAAGCCGCATGTGAAGCAAGCACGTTCTGTGGTTTACTTCTGTATTCCTTTGAAGTCGGCACTGTTTTCTCAGTTCTTTTTTTTAATTTTTAATTTTAAAGATGTGTGGTATTCAGGGTTAGATATACAAATGTTCATTATGCAGGTGCCACTGTTGATGAGGTGTGCCCCTTCCTCCCCTGGCAGTTTTCCTCAACTTCGAAACCCACCCTCCTCCCCTGGCACTTTCCCACTACTGCCAATCCCTTTCTTATAGTATTATGATAGTTGTTCAATGTCCGCTTATGCATAAGAACACGTGACACTCGGTTCTTTGTTTCTGTGACAGATCACTCAGTATGATAGACTCTAAATCCATCCAAGTTTCTGCGAAGTTCCTAATTTTGTGCTTTATGGCTGCATAATATTCCATCATGCATGGAATATTATGCATGAGGACCACAGTTTTTTTTATCCAGTCCTCTTTCAATGGGCAGTTTGGAAATTCCTAAAAGATCTCAGTTCTTTTTCTTTTCTTTTTTTTTGAGTTGGAGTTTCACTCCTTTGCCCAGGCTGGAGTACAGTGGCACACATGCTCACAGCCACCCAAGCATTGACCTGCTGGGCTCTGGTGATCCTTCCACCTCAGCCTTCCAAGTAGCTGGAAATACAGGCATGTGCTACCACACTCAGCTAATTGTTTTTAATTGTAGAGATGAGGTCTCACCATGTTGCCTGGGCCAGTCTCGAACCTGCATGCTCAGGCAATCCTCTCACCTTGTGACAGACCTCCCAAAGTGCTGGGATGACAGGCTTAAGTCACCCCACCCCGCAAGATCTCAGTTGTTTAACAGTGGGAGCAGAAGAAGTTGAGTGGCTTGTCTGAGACCCTGCAGCTGGCAAGCGTTAGGGAAAGCCCTCCTCCTCAGACCACCCAGAGCTGGGCTTCATTACCACCACACTGGGCTTCCCTAGCATACTACCATGAGCAGGTCCCTGCATGAGACAGGCTTTCCCAACCAAGGTGTGTTGAAGCTGGGTGGGTGAGGATGAGATTCACATGGGAGAAAAGAGAGCATTCTTTTTGTTCATTTTTTTGATTCGAGGTCTCACTCTGTTGCCTGGGCTGGAGTGCAGTAGCGCAATCCCGGCCACCACAGCCTCGACCTGCTGGGCTCACATGATCCTCCTGCCTCGGCCTCCCATGTAGCTGGAATGACAGGTGCCTGCCACCACATTTGGCTAATATTTTACTTTTTTTGTAGAGAAAGAGTCTTTCTATGAGGGCAAGGTGAAAGAATTGCTTGAGCACAGGAGTTCAAGACCAGCCTGAACAGTATAGCACGACCTTGTCTTCACCAATGAATCAAAAAACTAACTGGGTGTGGTAGCATGCACCTGCAGTCTCAGCTACTTGGGAGGCTGAGGCAGAAGGATCACCTGAACCCAGGAGATTGAGGTTGTGATGAGCCATGATTGTGCCACTGCATGCCAGCCTGGGTGACAGAGTAAGAACCTGACTAAAAAAAAAAAAACCCAAAAATCATATTAACCACCTTGATGATGGTGAGTGTTTCACAAATGTACGCATGTGTCCAAACTCATCAAATTGTGTACATTAAGTAGGTACAGTTTTGATATACTTTAATAAAACCTTTTTATTTTAAAAACTATGTAACTGAGAGTAAAAGAGGCCATTCACCAGCAAGCACAAACATTGGATATGCAGGGCAAAACTGAATTTTAGAAAAGAAGCATGATTTTAGGGGGGTCCTGATGGAAAATGCAGGGAACAGTAGACCTCCAAATCCTCCTGGTGTAAGATGAGATCCCCTTTGCTTTAGGGAAGACTTCTTAGATTCTTGGGCACCTCCCACATCCAACCTAATTTCAATTCTGTTCATTGTTAATTCTGATTTACTATTTCTTCGCCATAGGACATGTGTAAACATGCATTTGTGTTAGTCTTTTTTTTTTTTTTTGAGTTGGAGTCTCACTCTGTCGCCCAGACTGGAGTGCAGTGGCCGCTCCCGGCCACCGCAACCTCGAACTGATGGGCTCTGGCGATCCTTCCGCCTCAGCCTTCCAAGTAGCCGGAATTACAGGCGCGTGCTACCACGCCCAGCTAATTTTTTGATTTATTGTAGAGATGAAGTCTCGCTGCCCAGGTGGGTCTCAAACCCGCGGGCTCAGGAAATCCACTCACCTCAGCCTCCCAAAGGCGCGGCTAGTCTTTTTTTCTTAAGTCAGGATCTCATTCTGTCACCCAGGCTAAGGTATAGGGGCACAAATCACGGCTCACCACAGCCTCTGACTCCTAGGCTTAGTGATCCTCCCTCCTCAGCCTCCCAAGTAGCTGACACTACAGTTGTGCACCCCCATGCCCAGCTCATTTTTTGATATTTTGTAGAGACAAGATCTCACTGTGTTACCCAGGCTGGTCTCAAACCCTTGGGTTCAAGCAATCCCCCCTCCTTGGCCTCTCAACGTGCTGGGATGGCAGGTGTGAGCCACCACACCCAACCTGTGTCAGCCTTTAATGCCTGCCCTGCATGTGCTTGTAAACTCCCTGAGGTTGTGGCTGTGCCTGGGTCATGAGCTGCTGCGGTTTCTGGGAGCCCAAGGTGTGAGGGCACAGAGTCCTGTGACCAGAGATGGACCCTGTTGTCATCAGACGCATCTTCTCTGTCCAGAATCAAGCATGTGAATTGTGCCATGCTGAACAAAGACTTAGTCCATGTTTTGGTGGAGAGCCAGCATCTGCGATACTTGGAAATACGACTCACCGAAGTGGAGCACACAACCGTGACACTTCTGAGCAGAGCCTTGCAGTCCCCCCAGTGCCAGCTGCAGTGTCTGAGGTGAGAGTTGAGATGGGGATGAGGTGGAGCCCTGGCACCCCGAGGGTCTTTTCAGAGGTGGTGGTGACATGCTCTGTCTACCTGTCTCATTTTCCTTGATATACTGTTTGTGTCGTTCAACTGTGAAATTGCAATTTGACAATGTTCTCCAAGGGGGTGACCCCCAGAAAGCCCCCAGAAATATCTTTCAGAGGGTGGGTCCCTTGTAGTCCAGGCTTTCCCTGCTAGTGTTAGAAGATCACCATTGGCATCAGCCTACTAGCTAGTGTTGTTGTGAGAGGCTGTGTTTCGCTTCAGTGAATTTTTTTTTGAGTTGGAGTCTCACTCCATCGCCCAGAATGGAGGGCAGTGGTACACTCATGGCCACCCCAGCGTTGACCTGCTAAGCTCCAGCAATCCTTCCACCTCAGCTTTACAAGTTGGAAACACAGATGCCCGCCACCACACTGACTTGTTTTGGGATTTATTGTAGAGACGAGGACTCACCAAGTTGCCCAGACTGGGCTCCAACCCTTGGGCTCAGGCAATCCTCTTGCCTTGGCCTCCCAAAGTGCTGGGATGACAGACTGAGCCACTGTGCCTAACCCAGTGATTTTTTTTTTAGATTCTTTCAGTGTGTCTGCCCATTTCATGATGGGTGATTTATGAGCACACCTGCCCACCCCACACTGAGTGTTCAGCAGTTTTGGACCAAAACCAACAAGACCCCTTTGCCCCATGCTCCCTATTCACCAGATCCCACCCCAAGTGACTTTTTGTCTTCTTGGTGAAAAAAGTCCTCAAAGGGAAATGTTTTGCTGACATGGAGGAAGTGAAACAAAAAATGGCAGAAAGCACTTAAAGGCACCAAAATGGACACGTTCAAAAACTGTTTTGAGCTGTGGAAAAAGCATCTTGATGGGTATATCGCATAAACAGAGGGTACTTTGAAGGTGACTAAAGTTTAAACATGTAAAACTAAATACTGGCTGGGCTCAGTGGCTCAGTCTGTCATCCTAGCACTGTGGGAGGTCAAGGCAAGTGGATTGCCTCAGCCTGTGGGTTCGAGACCAGCCCGGGTAACTTGGTGGGACCTACTACAATAATTCAAAAATTAGCTGGGTGCAGTAGTGCATGCCTATAGTTCCAGCTACTTGGAAGACTGGGGTGGAAGGATCTCCTGAACCCAGCAGGTCAACGCTGGGGTGGCCGTGAGTGTGTGCCTCTGTACTCCAGCCTGGGGGACAGAGTGAGATTCTAACTCAAAAAAAAAAAAAAAAGAAGAAGAAATACACAATTTTTTATAAACAAATTTCTGGGTTTGGAGGAGTCCCCCTCCCATAGATCTGTCTATGTAGGGAAACCTGAGTCCCCGTGCAAGGGGTGATTGTTAAACATTAGGAATTTTATGACCCAGTTGTTAAACAGCATTTTAATACTTTTGGTTTGGAGTCTCACCCTGTCAGAGGCTGGAGTGCAGTGGCACAATCACAGTCTCCACCTCCTGGAGTCAGAAGATCCTTCTGCCTTTGCCTCCCAAGTAGCTGGGACTACAGGCATGCACTACCACACCTGGCTATTTTTTTTTCTTTTAGTCAAGACAGGGTCTCTCTATATTGCCCAGACTGGTCTCAAACTCCTGGGTTCAAACAGTCCTCCTACATCAGTCTCCCAAAGTGCTGAGATTACAGGCATGAACCAGTGCACCCAGCTTAAACAGCATTTTAAAAAATTGAAGCATATACACTTACAAGTATATCAGAAGACAAAGGCAATAGCTAATTAAAATGTAACACTTCCTAACTGTTTTACTATCCTCAATGCTGGGGTTCAGTGAACATCTTCTATAAAAAGGCAGATGATACATATTTTTGGTTTGTGGGCCAGGCAATCTCTGTCACATCAACTCTGCTCTGTGTTAAAAAGCTGAAGTGGCCATCACTCACAGGCAAATAAACAGGCACAGCTGTGTTCTGATAAAACTTATATATGAACACTGAAATTTGAATGTCATATGGTTTTTATGTGTCATAAAATATCCCCCTTTGAATGTTTTTTGGCCACTTAAGAATGGGTTTTTTTGTTCTGTTTTGTTTTGTTTTGTTTTATGACTTTTTGCTTTTTCTTTCAATAGCTTTAGGGGATACAAATAGTTTGGGGTCTGGACTTTACACGTCCCCATCATCCCCACCTGTGCACACTGTACCCAACAGGTGATATCTTATCCCTCTATCGCTTCCCACCCTTCTCCTCTGAATCTCCAGTGTCCATGACACCATTCTCTGTGCCTTGGTAGATCCTTACTTTAGCTCCCACTTATAAGATCACATGGTATTTGGTTTTCTGTTCCTGAGCTACTTCATTTAGAATCATGGTCTTTAACTCCATCCGAGTTGCTGCAAAAGACATTATTTCACTCTTTTTGAGGGCTGAATCATATTCTGTGGTGTATGTATACCACATTTTCATTATCCACTGATCAGTAAGAATAAATACACAAGCAAATTCTGCTGGGGCAACCTCCTGAGAAAAGTCCTGGGGCTGGCCTCAGACTGCCTGAGGCTGATTGCCTGAGGCTGATCAGTAAGAATAAATGATGATTCCACATCTTTGCAACCATGAATTGTGCTGTGGTGATCCTCAGTGTGTGGTGACTGTGGGCTTTCTGCTCAGCCTGTATTGCCCCATGGGAAGTATCCAGCCGACCTAGGTGATGGGCTGGGCTGTGAGGACCCCCACCATTCTCTGACCTCTTTAGCTTTCTCAGTGGGTATAGGGGAAAAACGCTCAAGCTCCCCACCTGTGTGCACTTCTGGCTACCCCAGTGGGGGTTGGGAGGAAGTCCCCAACTGCTGTGTTGTGCAGAGGCTACACAGAAGAGTTTCCAGGGTACTGAAAGGTTGCTATGGCTATGCATCCCACCCAGCTCCCCACCTCAGCCTCGGGCAGTCTGTGTTCCAAGGTAAAAAGGAGGCCCAACCCACCCAGAACATCTGCCACAGTGGAATTTGCCCTTGGGGTTCTTCCTCTCCCAGGCTGGCTGTAAGCAGCTGGCATCAAGGGTTCAGTTCCGGGAAATAATGACTGGAGCCACACAGGGCTTTTTTTCCTGCACTGCTTCATGTGGGTTTCAGCAGAGCATGGTCATTTCCCCAGAGGGACTGGAGTCCCATGAGGTTCGGGGGGCCTTCAGAGTCCATGGCAGGAGCAGAGAGTTCCTGAATTTCCCTCACTCGCCCCCCCCAGCTGTGTCCAGAGGTTGCTTGTGATTAATGTAGTGAGTCAGGTGATTCTGGCTAGTTCCAACCCAGTCAGATTGACTTTTCTCTTCTTCATGCTCTGTGGATATCATTGCCTTTCTAATGATTTGTGGGGTATGTGGCTGGCCTCCTTCCTCTCTGTGTGCTGAGAAATTCTCTTTGTTTTGGTTTACTCCATGGGAGAAACACCCTCCAATTGCTCTCACTGTCCATCTTGCATTTAAAGATCTTTTGAAAAATCATTCTTAGTTCACAGCTGTACAAAACCAAGCAGCAACCCAGATTTGGCCCAAGGGCTATTGTTTATCAATCCCAATGGGTGCCCTTGAGGTTAATAAAACAAAAATTCCAAGTTCAACCAAATATGCTTCAAGAGGTTTATTCTGAGCCAAACATGAGTGACCAGGCCCAGGATATGGCCACAAGAGTTTTTAAGAGTATGTGTCTGAAGTGGTTGAATTGCAATGCAATGATGTACATTTTGGGGAGGCTGAGATTACAAAGAAAGCATAAATCAATACATGTGCGATTTATGTTAGCTCAGTCTGGGAAGGTGGGACATCTCCAAGTAGGAGCTTGCAGGTCATAAGTAGATTCAAACACTTCCTGCAATTTCTAGCTCCTATCTCAGGAATTTGCAAACCATTAGGGAAGATGCCCTACTGATAAGGAAGTTGAGATAAGAAGGTGGAAATACTCCAAGTTTCTTGATCCATAAATAAAGTTCACAGGTGGCAGACTTCAGAGAGAATAGTCAAGTGTCTTATAGGTGGCCAGGGAGTTCCCAAGAGACAACCTTGCAGGAGCATAAGATACTTTGATTTCCTTCTTTATCAATTGTGTGCTGTTATGCCAGAGTCAGGTTGGAGAATGAACTTCAGCGTATTGGGTGATAAAAGCCCCACCTGGTGAGTCCTCATCATGTGGGACTCCCCAAGTCCCCTGTTAGGAATTTGGACAAGAGAAAAAGGTGAGTGTTAGTCCTAAAGGTTGCTGATGTCTACCATATCCATGTGGTGGAAATATTGTTTAATGGTGCTCCCAACTCCTCACTCAGTGACCTCCCACTGGTTGCCTAAAATCAGCCATGGCGAGAGTATTTATAGTACAGGCACTGGCACGCACTGCACCTGAGGGCTTTCTTCTCCAGGGAGCCAGTGGCTAAACATTTACCAGTCTACAACTTCTTAGCACCAACTTGTCAGCCTTGCTGTGTCCTAATGCCCTCTCAACAGAATTTGTAGGGCCTCTCCCTTTGTTTTTGCCTGCCAATTCCACACCTTTGCATCCATCAGAGCTGAATGGGGCTTGGATAATCTCTACGTCTTATGGTCCTTCTTTTACAGAACAGAAAACTCAGGTGGCTGGAACCTGATACAGCCTAACACTTTGTGAAAAGTTTTTATCAGTGGCCCCACTCGAGACTGAAACCTAGCTTGACAAGATGGGGCTTAGGAAAAGCTCTCTGACATCACTGGATCTCAGTTTTTCACCTTGATGAATGTTTGGCAAATCAGTGTACAAAGTTTCAGTTAGAGAGGAGAAATAAGTTTCTACAACTGATGACACTGCATGGTGACCACATTTAATAGTTATGTATGTGTCCAAATTACTAAAAAAATAATTAATTTTTAACATTCTTATCACACACAAATAAATAATAAGTTGGGACTGGGTGCAGTGACTCATGCCTGTAATCCCAGCACTTTGGGAGGCCGAGGATGAAGGATTGCTTGATTACATGAGTTTGAGACCAACCTAGGCCACTTAGCCAGACTTCATCTCGACAAAAAAAGCAAAAGAAGAAGAAAAGAAAAGCTAGGCATGGTGGTGTGCATCTGTAATTCCAGCTATTCAGGAGGCTAAGGCAGGAGAATCTCATGAGCCCAGGAGGTCAAGGCTGTGGTGAGCCATGAACCTGGGCAATAGAGTGAGACCCTGACTCAAAAATAATAAACATATGATAATTTCATGGGGTGATGAATATGTTAATTAGCTTGATTGACTCTAATGTATACATAGATGAAAACCCCAAAAATATACAGTTTTAATTAATCAACTAAAATATTTCAAAATTTAAATTTCAAGGTCCTTAATGAGGTTCCTGACACATAGTTAGAGCCCAGTTGTCATCCTATTCCAATTGGTTACAGCCTTGAGTGTATATTGTTTTCTGGTGATAATTTGGGAGTAAGATGCTGAGCTCCATGCAGATGTACAGGCTGGAAAAGTTGCAGAGAACTTCTTATGAAGAACAAGAATGTGGCCAGACGTGGTGGCTCATATCTGTCATCCCAGCACTTTGGGAGGTAGAGGCAAGAGGATCGCCTGAGCCCAGTGGTTCCAGACCATCCTGCTCAACTTGGTGAGACCTCATCTCTACAATAAGTCAAAAAATTAGCCAGGAATGGTGGTACATGCCTGAAGTCTCAACTACTCAGGAAGCTGAGGAAGGAGGATCGCCTGAGCCTAGGAGGTCGAGATTGCAGTGAGCGGTGACCATGCCTGGGCAATAGAGTGAGACTCCAACACAAAAACATTTTTTAAAAAAGAAAAAGAATGTGAGGACAGTGGGATCTGTGAGCATCATTTCCCAGGAGGAAAATACCCAGCATGTGTGTGTTTGGTTTCTGTAGGTTGGAAGACTGCTTGGCCACCAGTAGAAGCTGGATTGCTCTTGTCTGTGGTCTGCAAGGTAACACACACCTGAAAACCCTAATGCTGAGGAAAATTTCCCTGGAGCCCTTTGGGGCATATTGCCCATCCATGGCCCAGCTGGAGAGACTATCGTAAGTCCCCTTTTGTGGTGGAGGTTTGGTAGATTTAGTGCTTCTGGGATAAAAGCTTCTAAGGAGAGGGACAGGTATTGGAACAGCATAAGTCTTGTGATTGATATAATTATGTATAATAGATAAGGCTGGTCATGGTGGCTCACACCTATAATCTCAGCATTTTGGGAGGCCAAAGTGGGAGGATGACTTGAGCCCGGGAGTTTGAGGCTGCAGTGAGCTATCAACCTGCCACTGCACTCCAGCCTGGGCAAAAGAGTGAAACTCTTTCCTTAGAAAAAATCAAATACCTATGTTACTATTTTTCCAGGCACAATGGCTCATGCCTGTAATCCTAGCACTTTGGGAGGTCAAGGTAAAAGAATCACTTGAGCTCAGGTGTTTGAGAGCAGCCTGGGTAATATAGCAAGACATCATCTCCACAAAAAAATCAAAAAATTAGCTGTGTGTGGTGACACATGCCTCTAGTCCCAGCTACTTGGCAGGTTGAGGCAGAAGGATGGTCTGATGCCAAAAGGCTGAGGCTGCAGTGAGCTCACACTTGTACCATGGCACTATAGCCTGTGATGATAGCAGAGATTTGAGGAGGCATGTGCACTCATTATCATGCATCTGTATAAGACAAAGGAAACCCACACATGGGAGTGAATTAAATTGCATCTGATCCGTGTGTTTCTTTCCCACAGGATGGAGAACTGCAACCTCACACAGCATACTTGTGAACGTCTGGCTACCTTTCTCAGGGATAGTACAATGCTAACCCACCTGAGCTTGGCAGAAAATGCGTTGACAGATGAAGGGGCAAAGCATATCTGGAATACCTTACGGGACTTGAGATGTCCACTGCAGAGGATGGTGTAAGTCCCAAAAGATCCTGTTCTCAAAACTCCCTGGAGCAAACTAACAGAGAGACTGAGAGAACCCCAATACATTCTGCAATGTATCTATGAAGTGCCAGCTGCGTGTTAGGCATTGTGCTGATGCTGGGTGGGGGAGGGGGGCCCAATAAAGAGGGAAGCTGTCGTTCTTTCCATGTCAGAGGCAAATTAGCTTAGCAGTGGTGTTCTCAAACTGTGAACCAGGGCACCCCAGAGTGAACTCAGAGGAGACTGCGGGGTACTTTAAGTGTAAGGGATACTGACATCAGTCCATCACTGCAAGCCTGAGGTCATTCTAGTTCAGCATTGGACCGTGCTTCAGTCCCTTTTGTCCTCGGACCCAGGCCCAAGTGCTCGCTGTTCAAAGCCCAACTCAAGAGACGAGAGTTGGTGGAAAGAAAGGCAGGTTTATTCAAGAAGCCAGCTTCCCAAGGAGATGGCAGACTCCTGTCTCAAGTACCACCTCAGACTGTGGATTGGTCAGAGTTTTTATTTATTTATTTTTCTGAGTTGAAGTCTCACTCCGTTGTGTAGGCTGGAGTGCAGTGGCACACTCACCACCATCCCAGCATCAGCCTGCTGGGCACCGGCAATCCTTTTGCATCAGCCTTCCAAGTAGCCAAAATTACAGGCATGTACTACTACCTTGGCTAATTTTCTGATTTATTGTAGAGACGAGATCTCACCAAGTTGTCCAGGCTGGTCTGGAACCCATGGGCTCAGGCAATCCCCTTGACTTTGCCTCCCAAAGTGCTGGGATTACAGGCCTGAGCCACCATGCCTGGCCCAAAAAGATCCTTTAAAGGGAAAATGGGTGTAGAAAACCTGAGGCATGGGGCAGGGTGTAGAACATGTGTCCATGTTTCAGTGACTATCTTGAGTAGTTGTCTGCCTAAGGGTCTGATGGCATCATCTTGGCTGGAGCTGGGGGGTAGACTAGTCATCTGTGAGTTCCCTCAGGTTGGGGGACTCCCCAGGCCAGGCTCAGGACTAGTTTGTTCCGAGATTTGCCTACGGGGGCTTGGTTGATTTTTACCCTGATTGTGGCTGGACTGTAGATTAACTGCCTTGAGGTGCTCCCTAAAGCAGGGAGAGTGCTGCAGCCAGGCCTTCATGTTCAGCTTGCTTAAAGACAAGCCCTTGGGGCTGGACCTGGTGTCACTCCAGCACTGTGGAAGGCTGAAGTAGGAGGATTGCTTGAGCCTAGGAGTTCAAGAACAGCCTGGGGAGCATAGCGAGACCTCGTCTCTATAACAAATCAGAAATTAGCCAGGCATAGTGGTGCACATGTGTAATCCTAGCTATTGGGAAGCTGAGGCAGAAGAATTACCTGAACCCAGGAGGTCGAGGCTGCAGTGAGCCATGATCGTGCCACTGCACTCCAGCCTGGACAACAGAATGAGACCCTGACTCAAAAAAAAAAAAGATGAGCTCTTGGAATTTCTAAGAAAGCATAGAGTTAAATAAGGATAAGCCTCACAGTGTAAGGAGCGAGTGCCTAGAAGGAAAGGAGAGGGGGAAATATTCAAAGGACAATTTTATTTTTTTATATGTATTTTTTTAATTTTATTTTAAAGATGTGGGGTACAATTCAGGGTTAGTTGTACAAATGGTCATTGTACATGTAAAGCTTGGGCCTCACTTTGGTCCCCACGTCACCTGGTTTGAGATCTGGTCCCCTTACTGATAAAGTGTGTGCTCCCTGGTTACCTCCCCTGACAGTGTTCCACTACTGCCATTCCCTTTCTTATAGTTTCATGATCATTGTTCAGGATCCGTTGATGAGTAAAAACATGTGGTGCTCGGTTCTCAACGGACAATTTTAAAGCTAAAACTAAAACAGTGTGTACAGAACACATTTTAGGGCGTAAATTCTCAGTTAGACATTCAATGACATTCCATCTCGGCAAAGCTAGGCTTTTGGCTGTTGCTGTCATTGTAACAAGTGTATCACAAAGTTCAATGAGGAACAAGAGGTTGACATTAAAAAATTACTGATATTATAAGGGTGGTGGGAGCTGAGAAAGTGTAGGGACCTCTGACAGAGTGTATTCCTCTAGCTCCCAGACCTTCTAAGTGAGGATCGTGCCTTTGCGGTCAGAATAATATGACCTGGCTTCCTATTGGAAGAATGGATCTTGTTGCTAACACAACAGTGTGGACTGGAACACAAACAAAATAGTGTTTATCTCACTCCATTGTGATTGCTTGAAATGATTTCCCTTAGATGTCAGGGTGCTTTTGTCTATATTTTTGGGAGGGAGCAAGTCAGGGTCTCCCTCTGCCAACCAGGCTGGAGTGCAGTGGCATGAACATGGCTCACTGTAGCCTCAACCTCCTGGGCTCTGGTGATCCTCCTGCCTCAGCCTCCTGAGCAGCTGGGACTACAAGCATATGCCACCATGCCTGGATATTTTTTTTCTTTCCTGTAGTGCCAAGGGCTCACTATGTTGCCCAGGCTGGTCTTGAACTCCTGAGCTCAAGCAATCCTCCAGTTTCAGCCTCTCAAAGTGCTGGGATTACAGGCATGAGCTGCCATACCTAGCCAGTCTATATAATTTCACCTGTAGAGTCAGTGATATCATTTCCTTCCTACCAAGTGTTTTTGTAAAAACGAATAATTTGGCTGGGTGCGGTAACTCGAGTCTATAATCCCAGCACTTTGGGAGGCTGAAGCAAGAGGATTGTCTGAGTCCAGGGGTTCAAGATGAGTCTGGGCAACTTGGTGAGATCTCATCTCTACAATAAATCAAAAAATTACTGGGCATGGTGGTGTGTGCCTGTAGTTCCAACTACTTGGAAAACTGAGGTAGAAGGATCATCTGAGCCCAGCAGGTCAAGACTGTGGTGGCTGTGAGCATGCCACTGCACTCCAACCTGGGTGACACAGTGAGAATCCAACTCAGAAAAAAAAGGAATAATCTGAGTCAAGTCTACATATAGGGGAATTACTTGTCTTGTTCTCAGGGGTTCAGGCATTGTTGAGGAAACTGGGAAGACGGACTTGGAGCATGAACAAGGAAGCCATAGGACTGGCAGTCAGAACCGCCACTAACCTTCTAAGGAGAGATGCTGTCATAGTGGAACTTGGCCAGAAAGCAGAGGCCGAAATTTGGAACCACTGCATTCCCGTTGGTGGGGAATAAGTCATTTGATGAAAACTAGGCATATAACAAAAGGGACATACGAGCAGGATAATGAAACAAAAACACACACAAAATATCTTTGTTAAATGGAAGAAGTCAAACAAAGTTCACCCATTGTATGATTCCATTTATATGACATGCCCAGAACTGGCCAATCCATAGAAAGAGAAACCAGATTAGTGGTGTTATGACTGGGATGGGTTGGGGAAGAAGTGAGGAGTGACATTCAAGGGGTCCAGGATTTTTCTTTTGGGGTAACAAAAGGAGAGCCAACAACAGAGAGAGAGGAGGTCATTTTGTAAGTCCCTCCCAGGTTTTCTGAGCAAAAACAATTACTCTAAAAAAGCTCTTGTAAAGAGTGAGGGTCAGGCATGGTAGCTCATGTTCATAAAATTGGTTGACAAAAAACAGTCTAAATATCCTAAAATGATGATGCTTGCACAACTTTATAAATAAACTAAAGTCAATGGTTTGAGTCCTTTAAGTGGGTGAACTGTGTGGTGTATTAATTATATCTCTTTTTTCTTTTCTTCTCTTTTCTTTTTCTTTTTTTTTTTCTGGCAAGTATACAGAGCAATACATCTTGATAAGTCATTTTGATTTGTTTTTCTTGACCTATGTTTCTTTGCAGGCTGAGAGAATGCAACTTGACCTCTAATTGCTGTGAGGATTTGGTCTCTGTGCTGCAAACAAATAAAACCCTGAAAAGCCTCGACCTCAGTTTTAACAACCTGAAGGATGATGGGGTGATCGTGCTGTGTGTGACCCTGAGGAACCATGACTGTAGATTAAAGATCCTAGAGTGAGTTACCCCTGGTTTACCTTCTTTGAGATCAGGAGAATTGTAGGCCAAGTTCTCCCAGAATGAAATAGGGCACAGTGTTTGTTCACTTCTAGACTAGTCCCTCCATTTGATTGGAGGACTAAGAAGTTTCTGTGCAACAGTTCTCAAAGTGTGATCCTCCAGCATGGAGCACTTTCATCTGGGAAGTGTTTAGATGCAGGTTCTCAGGCCCCACCCCAGACCTAGGGAATCTGAATTTGAGAGTGGGACCCTTCTATCAGTGCTTCATGATTATTTTAGGAGATGGAGGAGTCTTTAGGGTTCTCTAGGTATAAGATCATATCACCAATATACAGAGATAATCAGATTTCTTCTTTTCCCACGTGAAAACGTTTTATTTCTTTATCTTGCCTGGTTACTCTGGCAAGGACTTCCTGTACTATGTTGGATAAGAGTGGTGAAAGGGGACATCCTTGCCTTGTTCCAGTCCTGAGAGGAACGCATTCAACTTTTCTCCATTCAGGATGACATTGACTGTGGGTTTGTTGTATATGGGTTTTATCATTTTGAGGAATGTTTCCACTATGCCTATTTTTCTGAGGCTATTTATCATGAAGTGATGCTGGATTTTATCAAATGCTTTTCCTGCATCTTTTGAGGTGATCATATGATTTTGTTTTTAGTTCTGTTTATGTAGTGGATCATGTTTATTGACTTACATATCTTGAACCATCCTTGCATCCCTGGGATAAAACCCACTTGGTCAGGCAACCCTTTCAGGTCCCCTCCCACTGTGGAAGCTTTTCTGTCCTCTCAATAAATCCTGCTTTCTCACTTTCCGGCTGTCTGTGTCCCTTAAAAAAAAAAAAAAAACACTTGGTCATGATATATTTTTATGTGCTGTTGGATTTGGTTTACTAATATTTTGTTGAGGATTTTCACATCTGCATTCATAAGGGATATTGGTCTGTAGTTTTCTTTGTCTATTATGTCTTTTCCTGGCTTTAGTATCACAGTGATACTTGCCTCATAGCATGAGTTAGGGAGGAGTCTGTCCTCTTCAGTCTTATGGAATAGCTTTAGTAAAATTGGTACCCATTCTTCTTTGAAAATCTGGTAGAATTCAGCTGTGAGTCTATCAGGTCCTGGACTTTTTGTTGTTGGAAGACTTCTAATTACTGTTTTAATCTCAGTGGTGTTACCCCGGGGTGAGTTGGGAAGAAGTAGGAAGTGACTTTTAAAGGGGTCAGGATTTTCCTTTTTGAGTGATAAAAATATTCTAAAATTTAATGATAAAAACACTCAAAAATTATAATGATCACACAACTTTACAAATAGACTAAAACCAGTGGTTTATGTGCCTTAAATGGGTGAGTTGTGTGGTGTGTTAATTACATCTTTTCTTCTTCTTTTTCTTTCTCAGTACTCATTATTGCTCTGTTTGGGGTTTCTATTTCTTCCTGATTCAAGTTGGGGGGGGGTGTATGTTTCCAAAAATATATCCATTTCCTCTAGATTGTCTAGTTTGCATAAAAGTGTTCATAATTATCTCAGGTGACCTTCTGAATTTGTATCATATCAGTTGTAACATCTCCATTTTCATTTGTGACTGAGTTAATTTGAATTATCTCTCTTCATTTCCTAATTAATCTATCTAGTGGTGTATCAATTTTGCTTATCTTTTCAAAGAACTGGCTTTTTGTTTCATTGATCCTTTGTATTATTTTTTAATTTCAATTTCAGTTAGTTCTGCTCTGATCTTCACTGTTTCTTTTCTTCTGCTGGATTTGGGTTTGTTCATGTTTTTCTATTCCCTGAGGGTGTGATATTAGGTTATCAATATGCAATCTTCCACTCTCATTAATGTAGGCCTTGTGTACTATAATTTTTCCTCTGAGCACAATGCTTAACGATTGGAAATGTTCTTCCAGTTCAATAACAGATACAGTTGTCTATTTTAGATTGATACCTGAGATGGCTAGTCTTCTGAAATAGAGTTTTATGTTAGAGTTTTTAAAATACATAATTCTTCTTCTCCTGTGTGGTCTCTTTGCTAACATGTATACTAGCCTTCATCCTATGTTTAATTCTTTGTGTGGCTACCTTAAATATTTGGAAGAGGCTTGTAAACACCTCTTCTCTGGTGATCGACGAATGAAACTATTTTTGCCTCTTTTCTACTCACATTTTCTCTTCTCCATTAGTATAATCTGGATTTTAAACCAAGATCATTTAAATCATTATTTAATATTAAATCTTTTCTTCCTAGGATTAGTTCTGGCGACAGGAGTCATTTTTGTTAATGATTTACTCCTCTCATGAAATTTAATATTCACTGCTAGTCATGATTCTTATACTCTGCAAAGTTTGCCTTGGGTTTTAAACGTTGATTTATCTCTCAGATGAGGTGAAATATAATTTCAAATATGAAAAATAAATTGTACATTTGAAAAAGTTTATGTAGCATTTTCTCAGCCTTTACATGTGTGAATCTACTTTTTAAAAATCTTCATTGACCCATGACCGTGGCTCAGGACTACAGGGGTGTACCACCACAGTCTGCTAATTTCTGATTTATTGTAGAGACGAAGTCTGGCTTTGTTGTTCAGGCTGGTCTGGAAATCCTGAGCTCAGTTAATGCCCCCACCTCAGCCTCTCCCAGAGTGCTAGAATGACAGACATGAGCCACTGCACCCAGCCCTGATATTAATTCCACGTAGGCGGGTTTCAGCCTGAGCACCCAGATGAGCACCATGGTGACGTGTCTGCTGCTGCTTCCATCTTGCAGGCTGGAAGCATGCCTGCTCACCTCTGTCTGCTGCCAGGTCATAGCTTCCATGCTCTTCAGCAACCAAAGCCTGACCTACCTGGACCTGAGCAAGAATGACTTCGGCATCCACGGCATACTGACCCTGTGTGAGGCCCTTGAAAACCAAGAGCAGAGAGAGGATGTCATTTTGTAAGTTTCTCCCAGGTTTCCTGTGCACAAAAAACCACCCCAGAGAAACTCGTAAAAAGTGAGGGCCAGGCATGGTGGCTCATGCCCATCATCCCAGCACTTTGGGAGTCTGAGGCAGAAAGATTGCTTGAGCCTCCAGGACTTTGAGACCCACCTGCGAAACACAGTGAGACCTAATCTCTACCAAAAAAAAGAAAAGTGAACCAGGCCATGGTATTGCATGCCTGCAGTTTCAGCTACTCAGGAGGCTGACAGATGCGTTACTTGAGCCCAGGAAGGTTGAGACTGCAGTGAGCCATTATCATGCCACTGCACTCCAGCCAGGGTGATGGAGTGAGACCCCGACTCAAAAAAAAAGAATGAGATGCAGGATGTAAAATTCTGTTATTGCAGATGTTGCTACCATTCTGCTCTAGTTTCTGGGGACTCATAGTTTCCTCAGTGTGACTGTTCATACCCCCAAATGCCTGCTCTTATCTGGTTGGAAGTGTTGACCTGGGTTCCCCTGTCTGATATTTTCTGTTCTTCATCTTCGTTTCTTTCTTTTCTTGTCTTGACAACCAAGTTTATTGCTACCACTCACCAGGTATATGGCCGCAAACAAGTTAGTTTACCTTTCTGGGCCTCAGTTTCCTCATCTGTAAACCTGAGGCAGCATCTTCCTTCATGGGGAGTTTATAAAGATGGAAAGAAAATAAACACATATGGCACTTAGCACAGCAACTGACATATTATGTCCTCAACCAGTGGTGGATTCTGGATGAAGGCTATGATTTTGCCTGGTGCTACTGCTTTGTAATCACTCCCTCAAGACTTAGTGACTTAAAATGACACTCAGTGTCTTACACAACTTCTGAGGGCTGATCCAAAGGTAGAGAATTATCTCAGTTGATTGTTCACAGTCAGTTACAGATCAAGCTCCTTGTTGTGTTCTTCTCCCTCTTCTCACTACTTTACTTGACTAGTCTTAATTTTTTTCCCCTGAGAGTCAGAATTATGGAAGCAGTTTTACAGGAAGGCTGCAGCACAGGGTCTCTCATGCAGTCTCAGCTAAGCTGTTGGCTGTGGCATGCGGGGGCTGTTGAATCTGCTGCCCAGCTCACTCATGTGGCCATGGGTGAGAAGTCTTAGGTACTCTCCTTGGGGTTTCTCATGACATTCCTACTGGCTTCCTCTATAACAAGAGACAGAGAGAAAGACGGTGACTGGAAGAGACAGTGATTGAGAGAGATGGTGACTGGGAGAGACAATGGTTGAGAGAGACAATGGCTGAGAGAGACAGTGGCTGGGAGAGTCAGTGACTGGGAGAGATGGTGATTGGGAGAGATGGTGACTGGGAGAGATGGTGACTGGGACAGACAGTGGTTGAGAGAAATGGCAGCTGGGAGACAGAGAGGCTGGAGGACAGTGGTTGAGAGACAGTGGCTGGAAGAGATGGTGGTTGGGAGAGATGGTGGCTGGGAGAGACAGTGACTGGCAGAGACAGTGGCTGGGAGAGATGGTAGACAAGAGAGCTTACTAAGAACCCAGAATAAAAGTCATAGTTTCTTACTTAATCTTGAAAGCAACACCCCTTCACTGCTTCCTTGTTCTGTGGGCGACATGGACCTCCCCTGATTCAAGGAGAGAGGGGCTCCACAAAGGTGTGAGTAGCTGGAAAGGAAATCCTGTAGGCCGTCTGGCGGTGGCCTACCACACCCAGTGAGTGGCTGGACCCCAAGACCCTCTGAATCCATGCCTGAGCCCTCTGAGCTGCCCTTTTGGCCTTGGTCTACTTCATGGGGCCAGTGGGTGGTCTCCTGGGTGGTCTGTTTCTCTCCTAGAAGTGTTTGCATGCTTTTCTAGGAATACCAGATGTAACAGAGCAAAACCTGGCTTTTATCCTTTCCAGGGTGAAGAAAGAAAGTGGCGAAGTGGATATGATGACGAGATTGGAGGGCCCTGCTCTGGGGAGGGACTTCCTGAGGGTCATACAGGACTGGGATTCTTAGTGCTGCAATGAACCAATCATGATCAGTTGACCTGGTGACCCTCTGGGTATTTTTTTTCCCCAGAGAACAACTGGAAAATGGTTGTCTATTTTGTGAGCCATTCTGAGTCTGGGGTGGCTTAGTTAGTTCAGGGGAACAGTGTTGGGCATGACCTCCAAATAGCTCCCTTAAAGTTATGAAGTGTGGCTCGCACCTGTCATCCCAGCATTTTGGGAGGCTGATGCAAGAGAATCGCTCGAGCCCAGGAGTTTGAGACCAGTCTGGGCAACATAGCAAGACCCTGTCTTTAAAAAAAGAAAAAAATATATATATATACATATATTTATAAAAAAATTTTAAAGCTATGGAGTGTCATGTGTTGAATGTAGATTCGTCACTGAATTGAGGACATCAGGGCAAGGGAAGTCCAGTCCATGTCTCCTCATGGCTACTAGACTATCTCTGAATATATCATGTAAGCAACTCCTCTGGGAAATATGTCTCACCCCTAAAGGTACTGGGAGAATTTAATTAAAAATATGCATGAATACAATTTGCATGTTTTCCTGTGTTATTTATTTACCAGTAGACTGGTACATCAACTGTTAAGGAAAAAAATCCCATTCCTTAATATGTCTGGAAAAAAGTATCCACAGGAAATATTCAAAAGGGATAATATAACAAATACTATTAGAAGCACATCACCTCATGTTTAAGGAATTCTAAAAATGAAGTGTGACTCTAAGCTTTTTCAGGATCTACATTTTTAGAGTAGTTGTGATAACATTTAGAACTCAAAGATCTAGAAAGCAATCATAATGCTTTTTATTTTCTTTTGAAACAGTCATCTTTTTTTTTTTTTGAGTTGGGGTCTCACTCTGTCACCCAAGCTGGAGTGCAGTGGCACAATCATGACCCACTGCAGCCTCAAACTCCTGGGCTCGGGCTATCCTTCCACCTCAGCCTCCTGAGTAACTGAGACTACAGGGGCACACCACCATGCCCAGCTAATTTTTTTATTTTTATTTTTGTAGAGGTGAGATCTTATTATGTTACCCAGGCTGGTCTCGAACTCCTGGGCTCAAGAGATCCTCTGGCCTTGGCCCCACCCCCAACCCCCACCAAGTGCTGGGATTCCAGGCATGAGCCATCATGCCCAGCCTTGAAACAGTCATCTTTTTCTACACAATGTCATGACTGGCATCGCCCAGTATGGTTTCTTGGCTCTCTGAAGGAGTTTTGTTTCAAAAGTCAGAGCAGGTGGTATCCTCAGTCCTGGCCCTGTTCACACTTATGAGGTAGACACAAAGATTCAACTAAGGTCAGACTCACACACGAACCAACACCTGGAACTCATCATAATGACCTCCAGATAGCTCCCTCAAAGTTAGAGTGCCACAACCCAGTGTGGTGGCTTTCGCCTGTCATCCCAGCACTTTGGGAGGCCAGGGTAGGAGGATCACTTGAGCCCAGGAGTTTGAGATCAGTCTGGGCAACATAGCAAGACCTTGACTAAAAAAAAAAATATTTATATATTAAAAAAAGCTACGGCAAGTGAAATCCTGGAGCTGCCTAGGATGCCCTGCTGGGGTCAGCAGAAAACCTTGTTGGAATCAGCAGACTCACAGAAGGGCATCATAAAGCCAGAGAACACACCCAGTGACATGTTCCCCAAGGAGCCCTGGAGACACCTGCTTTGCTACAGTGGGAATGGAATATGATTGTGAGAAGGTCCCTGGCATCACTGAGGCAAAGAGGACTGAAAATGGGACAGTGATGTCCAGCCTTTGTGGCCTAGTATGTCACATGGGGCCCCTTAAAAGCCCTCTAGGTCCATTCTTGTAGCCACGAATGATGGGGATTTTTAAGACTGCATAGTATTCCACTGTGTACAGTGAGTCCCCTACATACAAACCTTCAAGTTGTGAACTTTCTTTGATTTTTCTGGTTCTGCATCAGTTCACTTAAAATAATGGTCTTTTTCATGGCTGTATATATACCACATTATCTTTAGTCAATTTTTGGTGGGTACTTAGGTTGGTTCTGTAGTTTTGCTATTGTGAATCAATACTACAATTACTATACGTCAATTTTAAAATGTTAGGTTTGGGGACACCCCCAAATTCCCAACATTTATTTATAAAAAATCATGTACTTGTTCTTACATGCTTAAACTTCAGTCACACTCAAAGTTCTGTCAACTTGATGCAATACACCTATTGAGATGCCTTTTCCACTGCTCAGAACAGTTTTTGAACTCATCAAGTTTGATGCCTTTTTGTTTTTCTAAAGCTTTTTGTTTCACTTCTTCCACATCAGCAAAACATTTCCCTTTGAGGGCTTTTTTCATCCAGGGAAACAAAATAAAAGTCACCTGGGTTGAGATGGGGTGAAGAGGGAGGGTGGGGCATGGACGTCATGCCATTTGGGGTTAAAAACTGCTGAACACTTAGTGCAGTGTGGATAGGTGTGCATGTAAATCATCCATCATGAAATGGGCCAATAGCTTTAAAAGAATCTCCAGAAAAAAGGAAGCCAAACACAGTCCCTCTCAATAATGCTAGCTGGTGCACAGTTCCCCATGGGTTCCTAGGACACTTACTATCAGGGGAAACCTGTACCACAAGGGGCCCACCCTCCAAAAAATAATTCCGGTTTTTCTGGGGTTTCCCCTTATACTGTTTCCTGGCTCCCAGCCACAGGCATTTCAGTTTAGCTGGATTGGAGAGTGGCCCAGGCATCACATCTTAAGTTTCTGGAGTGGTTCTAACCTGCAGCAAAGCTTGGAAACTAATGAAATAGGAGGTTATGTTACAGGACCGGGTTTCCTAGTCAGCATGAGCATGAAGGCATTCTAACCAAGCAAAGGCCAGACAGACATGACTACCATGAGGGACCATGTGGAGTCAGGGTTCTGTGCTGATGGCTGGTAGATTGTGGTGTTACTGTGGATGACATCAGTTAAAAATGGAGAGCGCAGTGGCTGACACCTGCCATTCCAGCACTTTGGGAGGCCAAGGCAGGAGGATCGCCTGAGCCCTGGAGTTCAAGACAAGCCTGAGCAATGTGGTAAGAACTCATCTCTACAAAAAAAAATCAAAAAATTAGCTGAGTATGGTGGCACATGCCTGTAGTCCCAGTCACTCTGGAGGCTGAAGTGGAAGGGTCACCTGAGCCTAGCAGGTTGAGGCTACAGTGAGCCGTGATTGTGCCACTGTACCTCATCCAGGGTGGCAGAGTGAGACACTGGAGGGAAGTCACTCAAGTTGATACTGGGCTAATAGGGAGGGTGAGGTACAGGGGTGATGCCATTTTTGGTCAAAAACTGCTAAACACTCAGCATGGTGTGGGTAGTTGTGTTGTCATGGTGAAACAACCAGTCACCTTTTGCCACAGCTCAGGACGTTTCTTCCACAAATCGTGATGCAACCTTCTCAAAACTTCCAGAAAAAACTTTGGTTGACCATTCGATCTGGAGGAACAAATTCCATGTGTACTACAAGAGACCTGCTCTCCAAAGGATAATGCTAGGGTTTTTGGGGGTCACCCTCGTAGCTAACACAGTATATTTTCTGTGCATTTAAAGAGCATAGAGAAATATACCAATGGAAGAAAATAGGGTCCAGAAACAGAACTTCATCACATAATCACTTTTCTTATGACAAGCTGACATTGCAGAAGACCAAGGAATGGATGCTAAGTTGATTGAACATACACATGGGGGAAAAAATCTTAACTCCTAACTCCTACCTCACACCATATACAAGGTTAATTCCAAGTATATTATTAATCAAAATATAAAAGGAAAGACACTGTATTTTCTAAAAGTTAACTACATCAGAAGACATGCATGACCTAGGAGAGACCATATATTTTCAAAAATCTGTCAAACAGAATTTCAAAATGCATTCACTATAAAAGCAAAATAATAATAATAATAATAATAATAATACATTGGACTTCACCAAAAGGTTAAAAGTCTGTTTCTCAGTAGATACCACTAATAGGAGCCGGGCTTGGTGGCTCAGTCTGTAATCCTAGCACTTTGGGAGGCAGAGGTGAGTGGATTGCCTGAGCCTGTGGGTTTGAGACCAGCCTGGGCAACTTGGCAAGACCTCATCTCTATAATAAATGAAAAAATTAGCTGGACATGTAGTTCCGGCTACTTGGAAGGATCGCTGGAGCCCAGCAGGTTGATGCTGGGGTGGCCATGTGCGTGCCTGGGTGACAGATTGACACTCCAACTCAAAAAAAAAAAAAACCTACTAATAAGGTAAAAAAGCAAGTTACAGATTAGGAGAAAATATCTCCAATGTACATACCTGGCAAAGGAATTTTATACAGAATATACGCTATATTGAACACCTAGAAATTGATAAGAAAGAGATAACCAATTTTTTTTAAATGGACAAAAGTCTTCAACAGACACATGGTCAATGGGCACATGCAAAGGCCCTCAACTCCACTGGTTGCCAGCCAAAGCAACTTGAAACCAAGATAAGATACCACTGCAAAGTCACCAAAATATCATTAGAAAGGCTGACAATGGCAAATGTTGGGCAGGATGACGAACACTTGGAATGCATCACTTGTGGAAGTGTGGAAGGGTAATGGGTACAGCCACCTTGGAAATCTCTTAGACACAAGGGCCTCAGGCCCCCCATCCCAGGAAAGCTCCTGACTTGAAGAGCGAAACTTCTGAGTCAGCTACTGTAGGGTGATGCCCTCAAGACTTCAGGAAGGCAAGTGCAAGTGTAATATTCCTGCAGAAGCACTAAAACTTCCGGGTCATGGTCTGACCTCCCCTATGTTCTGACTTACCCTCTGACCTGCCTAAGTCACATAGCTCCTTAAGGATCCCTCTCTACTTCCTTTGCTTCTCCCCCTTTTCCTCTTCTTTCCTCTCCCACAGGATTCTACCTAATGACATTTTTTATGAAGGATGACTAAGACCCAAAAAATCATCTCATAGCATACAAAATACCATGTGGTTTAATGATAACTAAACAAGAAATTTTTTA